TTTTGTTTTCTTTTCTTTTATATAATAATTCAGAATTTGTTTCTTTTATACAATAATAGTAGTAATCAACTGCTCAAGGCTGATATTCAGATTTTAAAATTGTAAAATCAATTTCTTTTTTGGCAGCGTTTGGGAGCGTTCCGTATACACTCTGTATTATAACAATATGGTTTCTTGCATAAAATGAAATGACGAAATATCAGTGGAGTTGGGTAAATAGCATGCATGTGTTTTGAGCTGTATTATTAATAACAGACTTCTTTCGAAAAATGAGAAGGTTCTCAATCTGACTGTATTTTTTGTAATAATGTCTTTAAATAAAAGTCAAATTGTGAACTTTTGAAAATCCACCAATCAGAGGGCGTTAGTGCGAGTTGTTTTACGTTTAAGGTAATCGAAACGAGACCTGATTGGCCGATGCCAATCAGAGCGCTAAACGCGGTCTAAGCCCTCTGATAAACAGTGAATAAAATATTCAAATGTATGTCTAACTTTACATGTATACTACTTTTACAATCCTTCTACATAATCTACAAACGACGGCATGGCATGTGACTTACCGCTGAGATTCAAAGCGACCTCTGCTCCGACAGTGAGACATGTACAATGGGTACATACAACCATAATACATATACATAGACTTAAGCGCATATTATTGTTATAAGCATTGTTTTACACATTGATAGCGAGGACCGATATATTATAATATCTTTGTTAAAGCCTTAGGCGGACTTTTTTAAAAGTGTATTTAGTTTAATTACTTTGGAAAAAGCCAGGAGGCAATGCAGTGCCTTTAGCCAAACGCCACTTTAGCGCTTGTCTACAAAGAGAGTAGAAAACAAAATGTATGGGGATGACACTGACCAGTGTCCAAATTTACGTTAATCCCATATAATTTGGTTTTCTATTCTATATGTAGACAAGCGCTAAGTGGCATTTTGCTACAGCTGCAGGTTGGGAATCGATACAAAAATATTAATGAATTATTAGTTTGAAGTCTAACTCTTCTCCTGTCTGTCTTTATCCCAAATTATTTGGTGTTTTATACTTCACTGCATTAACTGATGATAATTTTGTTAGAAAAATCAATTTGCTCTTTTTTTAGCATCGAAACATCGTTATCATAACATAGCGCCTTTTATCCCCGAATGGGTAAGCAGAGATGCACATTACGGCACTTAATGCCACTGTACAATGTAACACTCACTATTCATTATTTATATTATGACTCCCATGTAATAGGGGGTGAGCCTATTGCTATATACCGGGCACAATTGTTTTCTTATAATTGGGACAAGAATATAAATAGGGAAAAGCTAGGTAAATAATATGCGCCTAATTATACAACTGTACAATATACGACACAGTGTTAGCATGGATAGTGCGTACAATATAGAGCTTGTAGTTACACAGCAAGTACAGAATGACATACATCTGGGTTATAAACGTGGGACCTTCGAAATTGTAATGTAGATCTTATGTTCATATACATAAAGAACAATTTAATCTTATGTTCATATACATAAAGAACATTCGAAACTAGTAGAGCTTTTCTCAGAATTTTCACGTGGGTAAACCGCGATTTTTAGTTAATTAGGTATGTATCACGATAGTTATTATAAAAAAGAACAATTTATTATGGAGATTAGTTAGGTAACTGATAAAAGCAATTGATTCTTTGGCAAACATTTGTTTTATTTTTTAGGGTAGTTTCCTAAATTTTATTTTAATGTCCGTCTGGTAGATTAATTTAAAACTTTAGACACGTATTTTTTCTTTTCACACAAAATTAAATACTTTTGGCGATATTATAGTTTGAAACATCGTGTGACGTCACAGTGTGCCACATTTTGTAGCACGTTATGACGTAACGACCTCCCTAAACTTAGCGCCATTTTATCTAAGTATTGCAACTTAATACGAGAAAATAAAAAATACGTGTCTAATATTTTTTCATTATCTAACTGACGGACTAATTAATTTTGATACCCTGGAAACTACCCAATTATAAGATAGGATTGTTAGTTTCTAAGAGTCTTGAACTGCTTAAAGATCAAAAAAGTAACAATTACCTTCTTTCACTTAAATGAGTCATTAGTAATAAGTTAGTAGTGAAGAGCATTTAACTTTAACTAGCATATAATGTAGATTCTATCCACAATAATAATAATAATAGTAGCGTCGTACCCTTGGAGTCGGAGCGCACGAGCTCGGAGAGGCGCGCCATGAGGATGGCCATCCGCTTGGCGGCCGCGATGATCTCGTTGTCCTTGGACGACCACTCGCGGACCGCCTTGTGCAGGTTGTGGGCCGCCACCTGCACCGGACGCCTCGCTTAGTCATGGCTACTAGCTTCTACCAACGACTTCGCCCGCGTTCCCAGGGGTATTATAGTCTATATGTTACTACAGACCTTAATCTATCTCTGTTCCACATTTCAGTTCAGCCGTTTTTATGTGACTGAGTAACAAACATACACACATACTCACATTTATAATGTCAGTTCAAGCTAATGTCAACCATCGGCCTACAATTACAGCGTAAAGTCTACTGCGGCCAACCTAACAATTGACATCAAGTGGCACAATTAAGTTTGTTTTTTTTTGGGACAAAAAGTACCCAGTCATGTGCCCAGGATATTAATCCTATCAAGTTTCATCGTAATCGGGGCAGCAGTTTTTGCGTAATGCATGAACATATAGACAGATAGACAAAACATTTTTAATGACATTTTTGGGTTTGGTGTACATCTAGTAACACCCCCTAATATAATTATTTTTTGTAATATTCATCTCTTGCTAGATGTATGTATTTTTAAAGTACACTGACCAAGATAGGTTGGCTAGGATGAGGTTGCCTCCTGAAGATGTCCTCCCCCTCGTCGTCGGTGTCTGCGGGGGGCGGCGGGCGCGGCGGGGGCGCGGCGCCGGCGGTTAGTCGCCGAGGGCGGCCGCGGCGCCCACCGTCAGGCGGGACAGCGCCTCCGGCAGCGCGGGCGGCGGCGGCGCCGGCGCGTAGTGGCCCGACAGGGCCGACTCCACCTCGCCGGCCGCGTTTATTATCTGTGGGTGAGAATATAACTTAGTGTACGGTAGTAAAACACAAAATTAAATATCTAGATTTGTCACTACTGCTGATCCTGGCTTCAAGGTCCATAGTGATAGGAACAGAATACAAATACTAGAAATATCAATACTTATAAAGTATTTGGAGGTTTCCTATAATGATAGTCCATACCTCTGAGTTGGCGGCCCGCCAGGCCGGGGCCTGGGCGCGGTCCCCGAGCGCGACGGCCTTGGCGGCGTGCACGGCGGGGGGGATGGCGGCCTGCAGCCGTTGCTGCGCGGCGCCCAGCGCGCGCGCGAACTGCGCGTCCTCCGTGTTGTCGCGCTCCGCTCCCCCTACTAGGAGGACTCGGTTTGCTAGCCTGAGGAAAAGATTTTAAGTTTTAATCCCCTGACGCACTAGCGATTGATCATCGAGGCAGCCAACCGCCTGACACGATGGCTATAACGGTTATATCCCACTTGAGCAATAACAGCTTAATCATACAGTTGCAGGACGCGGTGAGCGTGTAGCGAGGTATTCAGGCAGTATTAACTGCGGGCCCGCCCCACTCCGTAGCCATTCTTTTTTCTGTTTGTATGTTTATCTGTTTGCACACGCGACTTTTCGGAACAAACGAATAAAAATACTTTTGTTCTATGACTATTAGCTAATAGGTCTGAGAAGCATATATATAGGGTATCATTTGTTTTGGAAATTGGAACAAAAAACATTATCTAAAACACACTTAATATTCTTCGTAGACCAAATTGCAGGCACCGGCTGGTAATAGATAATTAATGTAATACATTACCTGGCGATAGCTGAAGTGTTGTCGACCATCTTCTGCGAGTCGTTGTTACGTATCGCGTCCTCGCACAAGTACGTGTGCTTCTGCATCAGTTCACCTGTTTTATAGAAAGATATACTTAGTTCTAGCCTTTCTAACACCCAAAGTATGGTTTATCAACATATTAATTTCACTATATCTGTAAAGCTATACTGAAAAGATCCAAGAATAGATTCTAGATAGAAGATACGCTAGAATTTAATTGTTACTGATTAATAGTAAATATAAGTATTATTTTTGATTGATCAGTGGTCATTTATTGATGAATTGATAATTGCGCAACTTTTTGCGCATTAACTCATTATTAAACCTATAGTCAACTGACTAAGAACCAGTATTTGCGCTAAAGTTTTAGTATAAGTTGTTTTTAGCGCAAGTTCGCGCAAAAATATTGGTTGCGCAAAACATTGCAAGACTGTCATAATGACAACAAGGTCATAATTATCTCCAAAATCACATTTTCTTACCCCATCTCTCACAAATTCAACCCTTTTTATAATAACTTACCAGCAGTCCTGACGAAGTCCAGTGGGTCCACCGCCTGGTCACAGAGGTCTCTGACACGGAGCACGGCGTCCGCGTACTGGTTCTTCAAGTTGTTGAAATGTTCCTCTGCCACCTGATACGTTAAAAATGGTGTTGAATTCAATATTATTGGCTGCATTTGGCAGTTAATTTTCGAGTTGTCGGTGTTTTTGAATACATGGAGTAAGTTTTTGGTTAGAGTAATTCATACCTTACTCTCAGGGTTGTAGAGTCTGATCTTGCCTGCAGCAATGAGTTGAGGTGATAGTTTTTCAACCTGTAAAAGTAATAGTTATAGTGTTTATTACATAATATCATGATGACAAAGATGACAAGAAATATGATAATTATGAAGGGAATAAGATGACAAAAGAAATATTAACTTAATTCTTCTTCTATCGCATAATAATAATGAAAAAGGCGTTAGCGATGAGATGAAGTTTGATACAGTAAATTTAATGTAAAAAAAGAATTTGTAGTCTCAAAACCATTTAACACTAATGGCTGTTCTTTCACCAATCCCCTCTTAAGCCTTTAACTGCCGAAAAAAAATGTTAAAAGCTAATCCTCCGCTAGCGTCGGACATCATCGTTCGGCCCGGTCACGGCATCCAATGTGTTAACTAAGATATCCTTAGCGCGAAGGAGCACTTAAACTAACCTTATTTGCACTGTTAAATTATAGGTTGGTGAAAACTAAACGTCATTACGTGTCACCTATCCAGCTTAGGGGTTCCTAAAAAAATAGAAAAAGCCTTTTTTAATGTACGAACCTGTTGCGCGTTATGTATGAGTTGGTCGGCGAGCCTCTTGTTGTGTCCGACGCCGGCGGCCACGACGCCGGCCGCGGCGGCCGCGCGCGCGCTGAACGCGCCCAGCGCCGCCGCCTTGTCGTGGAAATTGGTCTCACGGCCTGGGGTACCTGGGGGAATACAGGTAATACATCAATTTGTTTTTAAGTTAAACGATTCTAATGACCTATATTCTACCAATCAAGCATTTTGTTTGATACCCATAATGGAGGTAGTTGCAGAAAAAGTTAGATTATATTTTATGGTCGAACAGAAATAAGATAATTAATAGAAGACAATTTGGATACCAAAAGGGTGTCGGTACTTACAACTCAACAAATGTATATGCGATATATACATTTGTTGATTATATTCTACACAGATATTAAACAGCAAAATGAAGGTGGCAGGTTTGTTTCTGGATTTGTCTTCTGCTTTCGAAACTATTGACCACGACCTGCTTTTGACTAAGATGCATCACTACGGAATAAGAGGAAAAATTCTAAAACTGATGTCATCATACCTAAAAAAACAGGACAAGCTTTGTTTTGATTTAGGTAAATTCACTGTGCATAGATCGGGACTGACCTCTGTAAAGACAGGTGTACCGCAGGGATCCATTCTGGGTCCGATTCTTTTTATTCTGTTTACAAACGACCTAATCAGTTATATAAATACCATCAGTGGCGGCTGTACCTTAAGTGCGCTCGTGCGCTGAACCACCAATCCAAAAGATTTAAAAATGACAAAATATTAAGTACCTACTTCATTTTTATTTTTATTACCATTTTAATATTTATTTTTAAATATATAAAAACTAAAACGTATAAAAAATTAAATCTCCAATGATAGTGTAACAGTTTGAGCGCTTTACTAAACTATTAAGACTTATTTTCCTGTAAAGACAAATTCTCGTGCGCTTCGGCGAGTGCACGAGGGCTGCTAATACAACTTGTAGGTGATACGAGTTAATACGCCTGACGCGTGAAACAAAAGATAGTTCATAGAAACGTACCGAGTAATGAGTCGGTTGTCGAGCGCCGCACGTGCGATGCGAACCGAGGATTGCCGAGAGCAGTGAGCACCCGATTTTTGACGAATTGGCCGGCAAGGGCGCGCGCGAGGCGACGGCAGCCATTGGATGATTGACATCTCGTTATTAGACTATCAGTATAGTTTCACTGTATGTGTGACGCGCTAATAATTGTTTATTTATATTACCGTAAATAATTGTTTTTAGTTTTCGTTTCGATTTTTTTCGAGAACTTTTATTCTATACTGTGTAGGTATTAGTGAAAATGAGCATAAACATTGATTATATTAAAGAAAATAACAGATCTTTTCAAAATAAAGTGAACATAAAATTGGCCGGACCGCCACGGCCCTTTTTAAATTTAAAACAATAAAAAATAAACATATATTATGTCAATTTTTGTTTTGTTGCATTTTCTAACTTTAATATTTTAGTAAACTGCACCACCAGTTCGATAACCCACCAGCCGCCACTGAATACCATATTGCCAATACTAAGTATAGTGGTTTTCGCTGATGATACTAATGCTGTGGTGGGTGCAAGCAACTTGGAGTCTCTTTCTGACATAGTTAAGGAAGCACTGGTATCTTTTGATGCGTGGTTTGCGGCAAACAAGTTGTTGATCAACTCTGCAAAAACAAAACTGATGCTGCAACTGCCCGCGACAATGACTGTTTGGCAGTCACTCTAAATAACGAAAAGTTAGAACTAGCCAAAGAAGCGAAACATTAGGTATACACATTGATGAGCATCTAAACTGGAATCTGAACTAAAAGCAATGGACGCAGCAATATCATCCGCATACTACGCCTTGAGAGCGCTTAGATGAGAAATTGGCATCGAACAACTTAAAATGGTGTACCTGGCGTTGGTCGAGTCTCGATTTAGATATAGCATACAATATTGGGGAAACAGTTTTCAGTACAACATTCGCAGAGCATTCACCCTACAGAAGCGGGCCATAAGAACAATAGTACGTATACCTCAAACAGAGAGCTGCAGACAGTACTTTACGAAGCTGGAGATCCTGACGGTTCCTGCAATTTATGTCTTGGTGCTTTTAACTACGCTAGCCAAATATATTCACGAATTTGAAAATGCAGAAGATAGAGTTATCAGGGAGGGTACTCGTAGAAAAGATCTCGCTCAAGCAGTATGTCCTCGGTTAAATGTGGTTAGGCACGGTTCGCGGTACCAAGCAGTAAAACTGTTCAATAAGCTACCAGAAAATTTAAAGAACGCCATTTACACGAGTTCCTTTAAATCCCAACTGAAGCATATCCTATTAGACAAGTGTCTGTACTCAATTGGCGAACTGTAATAGTGTTATTGCAGTGTTTCCGTTGACATGTATAAAATACATGTTAACAGAAACACTGTTCTGTGGACATGTATTTTAATTCAATTATTACATGTATTATTGCAGTGTTTCCGTTGACATGTATTTTAATTCAATTATTTAATGTATTATTGCAGTGTTTCCGTTGACATGTATTTTAATTCAATTATTTAATGTATTATTGCAGTGTTTCCGTTGACATGTATTTTAATTCAATTATTTAATGTATTATTGCAGTGTTTCCGTTGACATGTATTTTAATTCAATTATTTAATGTATTATTGCAGTGTTTCCGTTGACATGTATTTTAATTCAATTATTTAATGTATTATTGCAGTGTTTCCGTTGACATGTATTTTAATTCAATTATTTAATGTATTATTGCAGTGTTTCCGTTGACATGTATTTTAATTCAATTATTTAATGTATTATTGCAGTGTTTCCGTTGACATGTATTTTAATTCAATTATTTAATGTATTATTGCAGTGTTTCCGTTGACATGTATTTTAATTCAATTATTTAATGTATTATTGCAGTGTTTCCGTTGACATGTATTTTAATTCAATTATTTAATGTATTATTGCAGTGTTTTGGTGACATATATTTTAATTCAATCATTTAATTGCGGAACAATTTATGCTTGATTCACTCTTATCTTGAAAAGTACGTAAACGTAAAGTAAGTAGTAATTATGTAGTTTCTTCTAAATTGGAATTTTGTCATGTTAGATTAGATTATTTCTCGTTTTATTATTATTTTAATTGTTCTTTTATGTTTTATTTTTTAATTTTTTGAGTAATATGACTGATCCATGCTGTAGGGATTTATATTGCAATGTAATTTATGATTATAAAGACATTCAGATACAATGTAAATTGTTTATTGAATAGATAAAATGAAAAATGAAAAAATGAAAATGAAATGAAATGGTCATCAAGATTAGAAGTGTGTACCAAATATCAGATCGACCTGTCGTCAGGAAGAAAGTACAATTCTATAAAACCGTTCAAACAGTATTGAAATAGAGAATATTATGAGATGTTTAAATCAGATATATATTATGGCATAAAAGAGTCTATATCTAACAATAAGTGAATCTAAAAATAAGAAATGATTCTGAATAGAGAAATTGTTGCGCAAGTGAAGTCAATTCAGATGTTTGTGTTAATGGAACGAATTGCTCTTTAGAGATGTTATATAGCTTAGATTTAATAATTATAGGACAGAAAAGTAAATAATACAATAAAACTTATATTATTCTTTACAAAAAATCATTACATAATTGCTCTAAAACATACCAAAATGCATTATAAATTTGTTGAAATATGCGGTAATACTTACCAGGCGGAGTATTGACGGCGTCCGTGAAGTGCCGCAGGGGCGCGGCGACGTCAATGAAGTCCTCCACGACGCGGTTGACGACGGCGCGCTCCGTCGCGCGCTTCAACTCGTGGAGCTTGTCGGTCAGCTCTCTGTTCATAAACGATATTTTTTATTTAATAAAACGTTGTCCCACACTAGAAATTTCTCCTGTGTCGTGGGTGCATTTACAAACATACAAGTTCACATACACATGACACCCAGACCCGGAACAACAATCTGTAGATCACACAAAGAGTTGTTCCGTGCGGGAATCAAACCCGCGACACATTGCGCGGCAATCAGTTGCCCAACCACCGCGCCAACCGGGCCGTCGAAGTCGAAGGAATATACATCTTATTTGCGATGGATAGGGCATGAATTAAGTTTTTCAAGAAATTCTTTTAGAGATTAATCTTTTTAATTAGTACTTGTATATTGATTGATACTGCTTGATAAAGAGTCACCATAGAGTTTCTTCAGCAAGCCATACACGCTAGGTTTTGCATGATGGTTTTAGCCGTGCATGCATAACCGGCAGGCAAGCCCTAGCGTGTATGTGATTAAACTGTACAGTTATCGTGTTGTAACTGTATCAAAATGTACCTACTAGCGCCATCTAGTCTATGTAATGTGAACTAAGACTTTACTTGTCTTTGTGTTTAAAAAGAATAAAGTCTGTTGTATGCACTGAATAATTATTAAGCGCGAATTATGTAATCAAGCTTACTACACACTGACAGATTATCTTGAAGATAAGAATGCTTGGCAGCATGTTGGTTCGGCTCCACTGGACAATACTCAAATGTAGTCAGTAGTTAAATTACAATAGTAGGTAATATAATACATAATTTAATACTTTAATTCTAATGTAGACAATCTAGTTTCCTTATGGCATCGAGCATTTCTTTCTTTATTGAAACAAAGAGTTTCCTTTTTCTTGTATAGAAGCACTATTTCTATGGATTGTCAGTATGCATATGTGAGCACCATGTTAGACTTAAGATCTTTATTATTTTTATTTTAGTAAGTTATTAGTATAATGCGTCAAGCGTGTCTTTGCATTGTTCTTACATATGCGTACAGTATTGAAATATGTATCAGAGACATTGTAGAACATCCTTTTTTAAAAAGAGTAACGAATGGAGTTTCTTGCTCGTTCTTCTCCATTCGAATCTACGTTTTGGAATGAGCACCTAGCTTCACCTAATTTCACTGACGGACTGACTGACAGACTATTATTTATTTTGTATTTGTTGACGTTTCAAAAGTACCAAACTATGGTTTAATTGAAATAAATTTTTTGACTTTGAAATAACCAACGTGTTTTCTTCAGATATCGGTGCATGTACATACAAAACTTAACGTGTATGCGTGGTATGAAACTCGGTTATGCTTGTCGGTTTTGCATGCAAAGCATAACCTAGCGAGTATGGCCTCCTTTACTCCCAGAGGAATGTATGGATGATCTAGACACGCCGTGAAACAAGCAAATAAATAAGGATTAACTTAAAAATTGCCTGATTGGTCTGATTGAAATAAAGACTTGACTCACTCGAATAGGCAAAATAAATGAATAAATAAGATACACATGCGTTAGTCAGATGAAATGAAGTACATTCTAAACACAAGATCGAAAGAGTCTGTTACTTAGTGATAGCCCTGGCCTCGTCGCTGTCCCCCCTGCCCGAGGCACAGAGGTCCCCCAACTTGTCCGACAGTCGCTGGACCTCCGAGCACAGCTGGAGGACTTCCGCCTTCTCTCTGCCTTGCAGACCGTCCGCGATCTGGTAGACAAATAATTACACTATGAATTTTACTTCATTTTAAGATTCAATTCATTATCATTATTTTTACACAGTTCTTGGTTATGTTATTGTTTTTGTTCTTAATAACAAGATAACATAAAGATCAATGTAATAAATAAAATAAAAAATAAAATGTTTATTTGGTGTAAAAAGCCAGATTACAAAATAAATCTTAATATCTAAACAAAGTCTAAAAATATGTGAAACCTGAACTAGGTCCAAGACTGAGTTTCAGGTTAAAAATGTACTGAAATATTTAAAATACAATAATATTGCTTATAAAACTAAAAACATTTATGTCTAAATTAAATTAGTTAGCTAGTCTCTAAGTATAACAGGTGCGCGTGTACAATTTCATAAACAAACGTAAGCAATGTATTAGTTGATTACTTGAAATGAATGTTTAAAATACAATTGTCAAGAATAGCTGTACCAGCTTGGTTTATTTTTTTAAGGGGAAGGCATTTCTCAAAAAAATAAACTCGTTGTGCGATAGTGACCAAAGGGTTAGTTACAAAGTTTATAACTAAATCAACATTGTTCAATAACTTTCAAGAGCACTAAATCTGAGTGTGTAGGTATATTATGTGAACGTACCCTCTGTCCCTGCGACACGATGCTATTGATGGCCTTCTGTCCCTCCACCCTGGTCACTGGGTCCGCGGCAGGGTGGAGCAACCATTTGTGGGCTGTCTCCAGTCTGGAAGAAGAAAGAAATGCCGTTTATTTATGGACGGTACAATCTTTTCGGACCACACTACTCCAATGTAGTATCAGAGAGAGCCATGCTTCGGTATGAATGAGCTGGCTCAACCAGGGTACCTCGCCTCGCAGAAAACGAACGTGAAACAACTGTAACGACTTCACGGACCAATTGTTTCCCTCCTTAATCTCCCACATCCTCAAATCCCGGCAAAGAACTGATTACTTTCCATTAGATAGTCCATGTAGTAGTAGTAGATGTTTTCGGCTTACTTACGTAACTGTTTGAGTATGAGCCTCTAGCATGGCTTGAAACTAGTCAAGTTCCTCGTCGAACAGTTATGTGAGTAACACGAAAACATAATAAAAAATAAACATATTGAACAATGAACTATTTTTGACGACGTCACTCACCTAGCCTGCATGGTCTTCCCTCCTTGTTTCTCAGCTGCCCTGACTCCCTCGTTGACGATGGCGTCCAGCTCGTTGATCTGGTGGCGAAGGTCTGAAGCCAGGTTTAGTGCCTGAAATGTAACATAATCGTGAATAAGTAATAATAATATAGTAGCAAAAATCAAATTTCATAGCATTAAAAAGGGCGGCAGAATAATTTAATAGTTACCTTGGCTTCTCTACCATGTCCGTATTGACGCTCGTCGCATAGCTGGTCTGCGTTTATACCTCCCGATCTGTAATAATATTATTTGTATTTATTTTGAGTTGATAGAACCCGAGATTGTATGCTTTAAAAATAAAAAGTTAAAGTCGTATCTGTCAATGGCGTCATTGTCTTTAAAAGCCTCATCCAATATCTGAGTAGGCTAATGTGAGATGGTTAAGTCAAAAACCTGATGCAGAAAGCAGTTTGTGAAATGGCATACCTATAATGCATGTGGTAATTAAAATTTCTGTCTCAGGAGCCCTAATTATCGGGACTTTGAACTATTCCCGTTACCGAAGGGATGGGATTCTTTTTTATTTTGACATAGTGAATAGTGAAACAAGTGAATTTATTTCTGCAAATAGGCTACAAGGCTGCACTTTTACACGTCAGTTTTATCAAGCGAACGATGAGGTCGACATTTCCTAACTGACTACTCTGAGAAGAAATGCCGAAACAAACTCAAAGGTCTGTCTCATTTAAAGTCCAGACAATATGTATAACAGATTATGTGTGAGAACCATGCAAGTTCTTTCTGTAGTGGCCTTTTGAGGAAAGAACCACAACAGTTTGAGCGGACCCGTTCTGAAGGCAGTACGCATGTGTCGGTTTACAATCAGCTCAATGAACAGGCACGGCCAGGTGAGGCTGACTGATTCGACGAATAATACCAACCTAAAGAACATTTGCGTAGATCGCACAAATAAACTATCAGAATATGGGTAATTAGAAAATAATTATGTTGTTTTGAGATAATAATGTAAGTGGACGTTTACCGGACGAGTCTCCTCGTAAGTTCAGCAGGTTGCGGCGCGAGATGCTCGGCAGCGCGCTGCGCCGACGTCAGCAGGCCGCGCAGCGCGCGCTCGCCCGGGCCCGTGCGGGGCGCGGCCGGGTCCTGGCGTACACAATGTACACATAGTACAATCACGTACAATTCCGATGAATTTCGAAACACTAAGGTTTCCTAACAAACTATAGCAAAACTTAATATATCCGTATTTCTAATAGAACAAGCCCGCCTTAACCAGTCAAATTCACTACAACTCTTTGTAAGTTTGAATGTACAATAAATTATACAACCAACAGTAAATTGTACGTCCTATAAGGACATTAACAACAGTCTTGGATGCCGCAAGGAAATAAATTAGAAAAAATATTAGGGGTGATGACAGGGTACGAAAATGAAAAATGTAATTAGTCCGTCAGTTAGATATTGATAAAATAGTATACACGTATTTTTTTATTTGCTCGTATAAAAAGCAATACTTAAATAAAAGATATCAAAGTTTAGGAGTGGGAGCTAGCTACGTCACTTTTAAGTATAAAACGTAAACAAAAGTGACGTCACTACGATATTTTAAATTAATATTTCGTCGAAAGTATCTGTGTCCGTAAGAACACAGATACTTTAAATACGGACATTAAAATAAAAATTAGTCATCTACCCTATTACCACCTTGCTTCCCTTGGTATTAAAGACATCCAGATTATACCCTTCGGGAAACACAGATTCTGGCAAAGATTCCTACTCTTTAGCAGTTCTTATGAACAACTGAAAGTCAAACTCTTTGTCCATGTAGATGGGGTATCCACCACGAATACTTAAGTCACACAAACGATTCTAAAAAGTACTCACATTAAGAAACTCGTGCGCGGCGGCCATCTTGGCGTGTATCTGTTGCTGCAGGGCCTTCAGTACTGTGACGTTGTCCTTCTCTCCGCCGTCCTCCACGTACGATGTCAGTTGGAGGACACTGGATCACATATCAAGGATTATTTCAACAATATATGTCATAAATTCTGTGTGTATAATAAATAAGGTAATGAAAGACTGCCTCGTTGGCCGAGTGGTCACAAGTGCGACTGCCGGGCAAGGGGTCTCGGGTTCGATATCCGGGACGGGCAAAGTATCAAGTTTAAAAATTCGCAGTAGTAGCACGGAGTCTGGAATTGTGCCTGGTATATGGCAATAGGCTCACCCTCTATTTCACCCATGTACCCACTTTTGTGTTTTGTGGCATAATGTGCACCTCTGCCTACCCCTTCGAGGATAAAAGGCGTGATGTTATGTAATGTAATGTTGTGTAATGTTGTATTAAAATACAAGCCAATCTAATATCGAATTTTTTCTTGTTTTTGTAAAATAAAACTGCTTCGAATACACCCGGAAAGACTATTAATTGTGAATCAGACTTGTTCCATCCGAGAATCGAATATATTCCACAATTTACAACTGCTGCAGTTGAATTTATTTTTAAAATTCCTAATAGGTATTTACCGTATAATCTCATGTATTTCGTCAGCCATCCTCTGAGCCAAATAGTTCCTATTTTCAGCTGCTTCTTCCATTCCCTTGCCTCCTGCAACAGCAAAAAAAACAACTATTATAAAAACGTAAAGGTATGGCAGGGATGACCTTCCATTCCTTTTTAAAAGGCCAACAACGCATTTGTACCCCTATGGTGTTGAAGATGTCCACGGACGGTGTAGATTGCTTATCATCAGGATCACGGACGGATCACCGTCTGCTGTTATACTATCTATAACATATTTTTATTGAAAAGGCGACTTCAACTCCCTTTGTTTTTTGAATTCGAATAATGAATTTACTAAAACCGTCCTCTAAGTCTAACAAACACTTATTTGAAAACTGCATCAAAATCGGTTCAGCCAATAGCGAGATAATAGCGCACAAACATTCATACATACATACAGGTCAAACACGGAATATCCTTCTTTTTTTGAAGTCGGTTAAAAATGTATGGTCTCTGGACTTCGAATGTCATGTATATATTAAAACATGAATGAAACATGGCTTGAAACTAGTCGAGTTCCTCGAAAAGTTACGTGAGTAAGCCGAAAACATAATAATTAATTCGACCGTCATGTTTAAGTTGACTGTTGATTGTACAAACAAACTGCATAATGAATAATTCTAATGTTAACTAAAAATCGCGGGTTACTCACGTGAATATACTGAGAATATAAAAGCTCTACTAGTTTCGAACTACAGAGGGGTTCTTTTCTCAGTATATTCACGTGAGTAACCTAAGATTTTTAGTTTATTTAGTATGTCTCACGATAGTTATTATAAAAAATAATTGTAACGTTGGATAAAACTATATATTTTTGTCTGTGTACCTTCAGTAAGTATGTGTATGTAGATCTTCATGGAACAGATGAGTACGGGCGCGAGCTGCTTGACGCTGTCGAGGCAACGGTTGAGTGTTTCCGCGTGCGGCGGGTGGGTCAGCTCCGCGGCGCGGGCTGCCACCTGCAAGGGAATAACCATAGGGTTAATCTTAAACTGTCAAACACCAAGCGGTCACCGGTGATCGCAACCTATTGTTCTATAATTGTGTCTATAATTACGGTACTCCACGAGTTAAGACTAACTTCTAAGTTATGCTGACCATAGGCTTTCTTTGTCTTCTTGTCTTATTGTAAAAGGAACGTCCGATAAAATTAGATGTTTTCTAGTAATCGAATTCACCAGCCTATAAGTGGCCACTGCTGACCAAAGGCCTCTACTCCCACGGAGATTTGAGCATTAATCACAACGCTGACTCAATGTGGGTAGGCGATTTCAAACTTATAATTAGGAATTATAAACATCTTGAGGAAATCTCAAGATGTTTTCCTTCGCCGTTTGTCAGTGGTGTTTAAATAATCTTAGAAAGTACATATAACTCGGAAAAGTCACATTGGTACTTGCCGATGTTAAGTTTTGAACACTCTCATGTATGAGAAGCGAGTGTAGTAACCGAGCCAACAACGCCATTAGTTTTTTAGGAAACCTTCGATATAAAAATGATACATACCTCCCTAGCTGCCCTGGAGAGAGCAGGCGATATGTCTCTGAGGAACTGCACCAAATCTTCCATGGTATCTATCACCTCCGCCACGCCTAGATAGTCTAGCACCTGGAATTAATAAAATATATGGGTATAGTACAAAATATCACACATTTTTTTTGTTAATAATCAGAGAGATGAACTTATTTCTATACACTGGACAAACCAAACGCAATATATTGATTGAATATATACCGAGAAATTTTTGTAACCGGTCGCCCTGCCCTTTATCTATTTTACTTTATATTTATAATCTATTTCTATATTAATAATCTTACTGTGTTCTCTTCATTTTTCAGCCATTTTACGAAGACTACAAAGTCATGACGTCAATTAATTATCATTATTATTTATTAACTACCCTTTTGGTTGGTATGAGCTGCTTCGTTTGACCGAGTGGTCGCAAGTGGAACTGTCGGGCAAGGGGTCTCGGGTTCGATTCAAGGGTTGGGCAAAATATGCATGGTTTTTTTTTAAATCTCAGTAGTAGCATGGAGTCTGGAATTGTGCCCAGTATATGGCTAGGCTCTCCAGGGGCGTGCACAGAGATTTGGGTCAGGGTAGGCAGCATGCATGATTGAAAAAAAAACTTACCAATTGTCAGCATGATTTCAGTAGGTAGTTACCTTCCTTCTAGAAATTAACCGCATGGCGCTGTCTGGTCAGGATAATAATTACTTGATGTTTGTTTGTGGCCACCATGAACATCGAAATAAGTGATTGATGATAAAACAAGTCACATAAATGATATCCAAAGTGGCCTTGACAAAGGCCGTGAGGTGTTAAGACTGCTTTACTTTGCGCAAATGAATAATAAAGTACCTACTACTGAAGTGAGCTAAACCATACTACATAGATATCTATTTTAGGTACTTCAACATAGTTAGCATAAACTGCATAAAGCGCGACAGAAGATTAAGTACCTATAAGTAGGTATTTAATCTTCACTTAATATTTATAAACTAAATCGACGCGCCTATCTTTTTTTAAATAATTTTCTAAAACATCGTCATAAAAGTTACTAGATCGTTTTAAAGTAGTTAAAAGTTCTTTTTCAATTGCAATCATAGACAAATCTGTGAGTCTGCTTTGGCCCTGTGTGTTTCGTAAATATGTATGAATTCTTTTTAGGCAAGAGAATGATCGTTCGGTTGACGCACTACTAACTGGAACCGTTACTATTAATTTAGCTAATTTGCAAACTTCAGGAAATATGGCTGTTAAATTATTTGTATGTAAATTTTGAATGAGATCAAATATTCCTAATGTTTTTAATTCATCTGACTTATAAATACATCGGAGCTCATTCTTGAGGCGATCCGCGTTAAAAGAATGCCCATGCAGATTGAGAAGATCGACGATCGATGCGTCTGGAAAATTTAAACAATACGCCTCATAGTTTTCTTTCGCGAGTAATTGAAAAAACTTTAAGTCTTTTAAGTTTTTATAACGACTACGACATTCGTTTAAAACATTATCTATAATTTCGTAAAACACGCGCCTATAATACTGTTGAACATCGTCAACACCGCGTTTTCTTTTCGGTCGATCGCAATTCGATTCTAATGTTAAGTTGTATTTGATATCGAATTTATTTCTATATTGTTCTATAAAAAATTCAAACTCGGTAATTTTCTGGGTGCAGTAAACAATATCACAAGTTTTTTTTTGTAATATTTTATACAAAATATCAGTTTCGGCAAATATGTCAGAAAAAACCTGCAGTAAAAAATTAAATTCAAACTCTTTTAAATTACTTAAAAAACCAGAAACTTGTATTATTGTTTCGCCGTCCCATTGATCATCATTTTCCCGCATATGCTCAAACATACCTATCAAGTTACTAAGTTCTGTTGCAATGACATTAACCGTTCGCGAGTGATAAGTCCACCGTGTTTCGGAAACGCGGGGTAATTTACGCATCTGAGCATATTCGTTATATTGCGCGGTTCTTTTTGTACTACTATGGAAGAAATTTGCCAATGCTCGAACTATATTAAAAAAACGTTTGGTTACCGAAACACGTTCAAAAGATTTTGAAAGTACAAGATTTAATACATGAGCTGAACACCAAACATAAGACGCGAGTGGGCATTTTTGTCTTAATAAGCTTTGAACTCCATTAATCTCGGAAGATAAAACCGCCGCGCCATCATAAGTCTGAGCAACTAATTTATTTAGACAGTTAAATTCCTCTAAAACATTGACAATATTCGCGCATAAAGTTACGGCAGTGCGATTAGAACTAACATCAATATATTTTATAAATCTATCAACTACTTCTGAGCCACGAAAATACCTTAAAACGAGTACAAGCTGTTCCCGACCGCTAACATCGGGAGTTTCATCGACCATAATAGCTACAAAATCGGTTTCATTTATTTCTTTTTTTATTTCGCGGTACATTACAGACGCGACGCTAGAAATTAAGTCGTTTTGAGTTCTATTCGATAACCCCGTGAATGAGCTACCCGATGTTGACTGTAAATGGGTTTCCAAATTTCCATCATATTTAGCTAACAAATCTACAAGTTCAAGATAATTGCCTTTATTGAATGAGGATGCGGATTCGTCATGGCCGCGGAAAGCTAATTCTTGTTTACCTAAAAAGCATACTACATCGATCAAATGTTTGAAAATATTTCTATTCCTATCAACTTTCGCGTTATGCCTTTCAATGTCTAACTTAAATTGTTTATTTAGACTAGGCTCAATTCTACATTTTCCAAAAGTTTGATACTTTAAACAAGAATTTATGTGTATTTCCGACAGATCGTGCTTGGCAGCTGCTTTGTGAAAATTATTTATATCCGAATACCCATTAGAGGTCCAAACATTACTATCTTTATTTGAAAATAATAAACAAGGAAAACAAAATAACCTATTAGTGTGAATACAACCTGCTAGCCAATTATGAATATCATAATACTTTTTATTAAAAGAACGAGTAACAGTACCTTTTTTTTGAGTCAAATCTAACTCGGGTACACACCTTCCCTTTGTAACTATTTTAGTTTTTACATCAAACGGCAGCGCGGAAAATGCATTCGAATGTAATTTATTTAAACACACATCACCAGCACAAATCTCACAGCTGTAATTTTCCATAATTCACGGTAAATTAATTTTTAACAACAATTATAATTTATTCATAAGCGCTCAGAAAAGCAATCAAAACAAAATGGCGAAAAAAACGTAAACAATAAGTTGACCAAAATTAAAATATCCATTTTCAATAAAGAAACGCTACGTTTTGTTGACTTCTTAAATTAGTCGGATAACGAAGAAGCAGTGCTTTTGCGGTTGTATAGAAATTACCAACCTAACAAAAAAAAAATCCAACATCAGCACGAGAAAACAAGCAAAATGTACCGGCTACGCATTAGTACATGCTTCCGCCACCGTAATACAATAGATGGGTGGCGGCGCCACTAGCGCGACACTCCAATATCGAAGAAAGTAGAGAGTGGTTGTAGTACTTCAATGTTTTTTCGATAGATGGCGCTAGTTACCACTTTTTCGAATTAAGTATCAATAAAATTACGGAATCTCTGTATGATGTCAATGAATATTCATGTCGTGTTAATGAGTGACACTATGTATTTGACTATGTACGTTTACTATGATTTTGTAGGGTATGCAGTGCTTATTTGCATATATGGTGTGCACGCCACTGAGGCTCTCCCCCTATTACATGGGACTCATAACATAATTAGTGAAAAGTGGGTGTTACATTGTACAGTGGCGTTTACGCTGAAATACTGAAACGCCACTAAATTTTAAGTCGCGTTTAAGTATAGTTCTGTCGCTACAAGTTCTTTGTAAAAAGACAGAGACGGCAAGATATTTAAGTACAACTTTAAATTTAGTAGCCTTTCTGTATTCGGGCGTAAGTGCCGTAATGTGCGCCTCTGCCTACTCCTTCGGGGATAAAAGGCTTGACGTTATATGCTGTTATTTATTGACTACTAAGTACTTAGAATCTTCTGAGTCAACAAAAAATACATTGATTTCAGTTTGTGAACTTCTTACATGAATCGATCGTAGAAAGTTATGTATGCGCTTTCTAAATCCATACTAGTGCTAACCCATTCAATTTCAAACTATATTTTGCCTTATAAAACGTTTCATTTCTCACGCTGACAACAATCCCAATAGAAATAGAAGTTATTGCAATACACTTTCATTTTCTCATAGTCTCATACATAAGAACTATGAAAAAATATGCTATTTTTTTTTAAATGTTACAGATTAATTCTCTACGGACTCGTGGTCCGTGCCCTTGTCATACATTTTTTTTATTACAATACATCTAGTCAATTTTAATAAAGTAAAAAAGGTTACTAGTTACACACTACAATTAACCACATCTATAATTATTACTAAAAGTATAAATTATGCTATTTATGAATGTTACGAACGAACAATCAGTCAGAGAGACATGTGTGTAAATATTCTCAGATTTATTATAAGTTTGTTAAACAACTTACCGTTTGATTTATGGAAAATTCTCACGAAAAACTGCATAAAACTAAACATTACGTAATTCCTTAATAGACACATGTGGCAACACACAATTTATAAGAAGCTCTCAATAGGAATATTCAATGCAAAAAATCATTATTATAACAATTTTGAAATAGAGGTCGATGACTTGTATCATTTTTTGCGTCACTTGTCTCATTCTTAACAATTTTAACTGTCAAGTTTAAAATGGTCAAACCTCCACTACCTCAGGCACTGGTGACTGACGTGGCACTCTAAAGATTAATGAATATATTAAACTTTTTAGCTGTATTTAATCGTGCTATCTCCGTCTTTTCCGAAAAAAATGTAGAGATAGAAATGTTTTAGAGACCATCCTAAAATTGGATTACGCTTGAGTATTTGCACACATACACACTTTCAAAGAAGTAAACCTTACCTTCTTGCACTCCTTGACTATCTTTCGGACTTCAGATTCATCGAAGCACAGCAACAAAGCCGAGGTTCCTTGCAAGATACCACGGGAGCCTTCAATCAGCTTCTTTCTGCAAACAATATTTATTTTCAACTCCCTAACACTTGCATTATCCGAATCGAAGGTAAAATAACTTGCGTCGATAGACATTGACATGGTGACTAGACTACCATAGCAAGAAACCAAGAACTGTCTTGACAATAGTACAAAATTCTTCCTATAAAATCCTAAGTGCATACTGTCATGCAATAATGAGCTTTACAAAGATATAGTTAGAGGTGAATGACTTACAGTTTTGCAGTATTGATCTGAATATTTTGAAGTGATGAATTACGGATTGGTATTGATTTTAAAAGAGCGGATACTTATGTAAGGTGTGTTGTTTATTTTAGTGGTATTTTGAGCTTTATTTGCGGTACGGAAAGTATGAATTTCCAGTAGCATTTTTTGATAGATGATAAACATCGAAATTCCTGTCGAAAGTTTAAAAACTATAATTTTATTTAGTTAGGTGATGTCGAAAATTTTTGTAACTTTCGAACACATGAGTTCATTTTGTGGTTTGGTCTGATAAGACAGACTTTATTCACTATAATGGTTAAATATGCAAGACGATGTCGCTGTGTCATCCTGGCTAATAGCAACAAACTATTGGTAAAGTGCAATATTATCTTACTTTACACTTGATTGGATCCATTTGGACTAGTGGTTTCAAACCGACATTTGGGAGAAATATAAAATGGCTGCATCATGATCATTGTCCATTTCACCGAAAATATTACACACCCTCTTACCTAGCAGGTCCTGAATAAGGATCAGCTCGCAGCATGTCAGAAGCCTGCTGCAGCAGTGTGGCGGCAGTCTCCACGCGATGCAGGGCGCCCGGCATGTCGTGTCTGAGGACCGCGTCTTCTGAAGACTCGATGGTCTCATGTCCAACCTGGAGAAGATGTAAAGTGGAGGTTTTTAGAAATTGGTCATACTTGTGTTTTTCTATCATTAAGGGATATTACCTTTATTTAGTTTCAGATGGAGCCCAAATAGGTCTGATGCCCGATACGGAGCCGCGGAAGACCTAACGGGTTGCTGGGGCTCCGGCTCGAAGAGCAGGAATAGGAACGGGGTGGTTTTTAGTCAGTAAGTCTGACACTCCCTCTCGCCAAACCCAAGGCGGGAGAAGTCATTGGATGATTTTCTACTTCAAAAAATCCCCTTATTCAGTTCAATATGGTCTTCATTCTCACAATCTCCAATACTAACGTTGCTGTACTTGGCAACGCACTTGGTTATAACTTCATTGGTGTTCCGGGTGTCCATGGACGACGCCGATTGCTTACCATCAGGTGATCAGTCTGATAATATGTCGCCTTATGCCATAAAAAATGACATCCAAGTGTTTAACAATCTTTTCAAGTGAGCAGTTGTCATATTTTTTAATTTAATGCTTTAAACATTTTCTCCCCAACTTTTAGGCAACAAAAAGCAAAAAAGGCATTAGTTGCCTGCTCTTCCCCCTGCAATACAAAGAAGATTCATACTACTTACTTTGACAAGGTTGTTGACGGCGAGAGACACGGCTTGCACCGGCCTCGCCAGGTCTGGCATCGCGTTGCCATCTTCTGCTTCTTCATGGAGGATCACCAGACGGGATACCTGGAGACAAAGATGGTAAGTTAAAACATTGTTTATTTGGTACAGGGATGAGAGGCGCACAAAACATTGCTCGGTATACTTCTCTGGATGAATTTAGATGACCCTGGGATAAAATTATGACAACAGGGAAAAATATAAGTACCTACAAGAAATAACGCACAAAAATACTTATAACAGCTCTAAAAATAGCAACATATCCAAGTTATATCTTGACATTAAAAGCGCGATCTTTGCTGTTGAAAGCGCCATTAACATCAGAATGTCATTTCCACTCGTTCACATAAAAGGGGAAATTAACATGCGATTGAACTTTGCAACGACGGCCGACGTAGGCACACGGGCCTTGATAGAAACTAGATTTATGCACGAAGAATATGGTTCAATATGCACTCGTAGATAGGTAGAATTATTTTAGAAATAGAAATTGAAGAGCGAACTTATGGTGTTCAAAGCAGGTAATAAATCTTATAACACAATCCCACCAGTTATGCTCTGTGGGAGACCTCTAAATAGAGTCGCTAATTTTAAATATCTGGGACATTGGGTCTCAGACGACTTAAAGGACAACGCTGATATTGAACGGGAGCGCAGGTCGCTGGCTGTCCGTTGTGGGATGTTGGCCCACAGGTTTGCACGCTGTACGGCTCAGGTAAAGGTGACGCTTTTCAAAGCCTACTGCCAATCCTTTTACACGTGCAGCCTGTGGGTGGACTTTACGCGGAGGGCATATGATGGCCTGCGCACCCAATATAACAACACGTTCCGGGTGTTGATGGGGCTGCCGCGATTTTGTAGCGCGTCCGGCATGTTTGCCGACGCCGATGTTGATAGTTTCGCTACCATCATGCGTAAGAGATGCGCATCTATGCTTCGCCGGGTTCGCGACAGCCCCAACACCATTCTCGGAGCGTTGGCTGAAAGGTGGGACTCTCCGATCTTGGGGCGGTGGATACGACTGCATGCAGTCAAGTAGACATCCCCAGGTTCGGCGAGCCTCATGCTCGTATAATATATGTACTAACACTAGTTTATAAGTTCATACTATTACTAACAATAATGTAGCTACATCAATAGTTTATAAGTTTGCATTGTCTGTCGTATATGGAATTAATTCTGAAATAAATGTTTATTATTATTATTATTATTATT